ATTTGATATTTTTCAAAACTCGTTCTTTCACTAGTCATTTGTTAAAACATTTTTTCATTATAACGGTACCTCTATTTATTTATTTTTATTGAAACTCGATTTTTCATGTTATATTATACTTCTCTATAATAACATTCTATCTATAACGGGCAGTAATATTCATTATAATAATATACTCTTTGTAAAACTACTCTTTAAAACAGTCTACATATTAAAATATTGAGTAATACTATTTTATAAGAAATATATTATGTACAAAAATAAATATTAAAAAATGTAGTATGATCATCATTAGTGTCATTCACATAGTAAATTTATCCCAAAAAAAGGCATTTAAATGATGATTGATGCCCATTAGTTATAGTCATAACTTTACCAATATTTGCATTTTTTAACATTCATATTCTTTCTAAATTTTTGATAAATTGATTAACAAATACATTTCTTTTTCTTGGTACACAAAATTATTAAACTAATTTTTTGCGTTCTATTGTTTATACTAAATAAAATCAAAACGTTAAATATTGGTATACGTATTTAACAGCCTCTCTTATAACAATCATGAAATTTTTAAATAAACACTATCACTATAACGAGATTTGACGGTATATTCCTTTTTATCATAGGTCGCCACAAACAAGCTCGCCACTTATTGGGCAAATGACCAAAGAGTTCAAGAAGCTCTCCATGTTAGAAAGGTATTTCAATTCATTTTATTTGTACATGTATAGTAAATGTTGCTAAGAACTATATATTAAAAGATTTTTTTGATCTTCTTTGATTAGGATACTATAAGAAGACCATGGACGAGATGTAAGCAAACTATTGCGTATACAAGTTACAAAATTACTTTCAGGAATAGTATACCTTACCATGTAAATCTTAGTACAAAAGGTTATCGATCACTTATATACAGGTCTAATACTTTCACAATTCATATTATAATATGATTTAGCTGAAGTTACTATAAAGTATATAAATAACAATTTATTTTTTAATATGCAGCGGCGATCATGACATGATTGTTCCTTTCCAATCGACACAAGCATGGATAAAGTATCTAAATTATTCAATTATTGATGATTGGCGTCCATGGATGGTTGATGGACAAGTTGGAGGGTATGGTTCTTTAAGTTTTAGTTTTAAATTAGATAAGACAATACGAATACGATTGTCATGAAATTCTAAATTTTATATATTTGATTTACAGTTACACAAAGTCTTACTCGAATCATATGACATACGCAACAATAAAGGTAAGAATTTTGTTCAACTCATTTTATATATATATATATATATATATATATATATAATTATCTTTATTGTCAAACTCTATAGTTATTTCTCAAATGTTTTGTTCTATTTATTTATTTTCCAATTAGGGAGGAGGACACACAGCTCCAGAGTACAAGCGTGAAGAGAGCTTTCATATGTTTAAAAGATGGATAGCACAACAACCTTTGTAAATTGTTTTACATATTATGTCCGTAATAAATTAATAGACAAAGGTTTCAGTAGAAAAAGATCAAACACATATATAGCCTGTTGAAGTTATCCTCATTTTTCATTTTAATACTTAATCTTAATCTTATTCCGTTTAATTCTTAAACTCTATTTTTTATGTACCGTTTAAACATAAAATACTAATTTTAACGGAGTTCATTATCCTCACTTAGAAACGTTATTGGAGATAAGTACAAAAATGTCATTTGGCATGTCCTATGTTGTCATTCATAAATGTTAGTAAGTATTTTTAAGGAGTTCATTATCCTCTTATTAAATTTGGGCTACGATTTGTGTGGAAAGCTTCTTTATCTCCCACAAGATGATTATCTAGATTTTTAAAAAGGCAAAAGGGTCTAGTAGACCCTTATACTTGACTCGAATTGTAAAGTGGACCCTTCTACTTCACAAAGTTTCAACTGGACACTTCAACTCAAACAAACAGAAAATTTTAAGTCCCTTTGACCATTGACCATTGACCATTGACCAGCCTTAGGTGGCATTAATTTAGCTGAGTTGGAAAAATGCGTGTTACACACGCGAAACATGAGCGTGAATTGAATTAAAAAGTTAAGAAAATTAAATAAAAAGAAAAAATAAATTTACCTACCTTAAAAAAAAGGCAGAAAAAGAAAATCCCTTTCTTCTTCAAACCCACGCACCCACCTTTTTGGAAAATAGTAGATCTCTCAACTGCTATATCCATATCCTCTCTATTATCGATTATTTTTTCTTGAAATCTTATTTTTCCTCACTTTTCAAATGAAAACAACACATTCATCAAAAATCCAAAACAAAAATAATTGGAAACGAAAGTAAAAAATCTTCTCCAAATAGAAAGCTCAAAACGAAATTGAAGAAGGATTTTTGCTACTACTACTTGCTTCTTTTTATCTCTTTAGAAGCAAAACTTCTAAAAAAATTAAAAACAAATTTTCATCTCTCTTTTAAATCATAGATACAACTTTGAAATTTTCATATTTCTTGATCTTTCTTTTTTCAAGTTTGAATTTTTCTTTCAATTTCAAGCTTTTTGGTGTCAAGTTAGTATTAAGAGTAGTAGGGTTTGAATGCTTTCTTCTAATATCAATTTTGATGAAATTGTAAGCTCAAATGGGGCTCTCAAATATTAATGAACTTTCTTTTGGGTTAGGGTTCTTGAGAACAAAGGGAAAATATTTTTTTAAAGTAATTATTTGTTTAATAAAATAAATATATAAAAATAGCATTGTGACAATTAAATTAATGAGATGGATATGGCGTGGCTTTTTTTTTGACGTGGATATGATGTGTCATCCATGTCAGATCGAGTGAGGAACGCCGGCTGACATAAGGGTTTAAAATTTCTATTTTGTTTGAGTTGAAGTGTCTGGTTGAAACTTTAGAGAGTAGAAGGGTCCAGTTTACAATTCGAGTCAAGTATAAGGATCCACCAGACCATTTTGCCTTTTAAAAATTTATGTATTATATTAACATTGAGTGTTTACGAAATATAGTGAACATTATTAGGGTGTTTGTATTGGTAGGTTTGGTTTAATCTTTATATTGTTGATTTAGTTTATCGATTTTTTATTTTTAAATACGCTAAATTAATAGTCAAATTAATAAGATATTTTTTATTGATTTTTTGTTTATCGATTATTGATCGTTAAAAGGTTCAGTTTTCGATTTAACCAATAAGAAAATTCTCATAAAACAAATATATGACTTCTCCAATAATTTACAGCGATAGGACAATAATATAATTTTACATAATGCTCATAAAATATGAATAATAGTAACTAACATGAAAAGAACTTTACAAGTGCAACACAAATAAAAGAACTAGGACAATATTTATTAATATTTATGTAGACATAAATAATAAATTATTATAATTTACCAATAATCCAAAATCCAAAATTCAAAAATCAAAATCAAAATCAAACCAATAACCCGATAACTTATTTTTATTAAATCATAGAAAACCTGTGAACTCAATAGCAATAAATCAATAAAAAAAAAATTATTTGATTTTTACACACTTCTAATAAATACGAGTTGGAGTGCCCAATAGCTACGTAAAATATTTATTTATACATTTTGAAAGTTAAATTAAGTATTTACTTATCGATTAAAATTAAATTTAAATACTTTTTAATGTATTATGCTCTTTCCCCATAATTTATGCTTCCGAAGAATTATTTTATGAGTCGGTCTATTGACTTATGTTTGACGACTATGTTTGCGTGCATATTGACAAGTAGGTAACACGTGTTTAAACCTTAAAGTGGAGGAATAGGACAAAAATCACTTCAAGAAAGTTTTGGTTTTTCATCGAATATTTAAAATTTTATTTTAAAATATCGAATATATAAAAATATTACTGTATAAATTATGATCATTTAAAATTTAGAATAGATAAAATTTTAATTGATTTCAAAAAATTTCGGTAACACATAAATTGGACAGAAGAAATAATATTATATTACTTCCTCCATTCATTTTTATTTGTCATTATTTGACTTGACACATCTAACAATTATCGATATAGGTATTTTATCAATTTATCTCTATTAAATGATGTTTAGTATTAGGTCTTGAAAAATGATTTGGAGAATAAGCATTTAACGCTGAAGGCAAAACATAGAAAAAAATAGTTATATTTTCTTGATATATTCTAGTTGACAAATAAAAATGAAAATATATTTTAAGAATAAGTAGTAACAAGTAAAAGTGAATAGTGAGAATATTAAAAATTAACGTAAAAGTATTATAAATTGTAATTTAACACGTTGAAATATTTGAAAGGCATATAAAACATATTGTTGACTTTTAAATTTTTATCTATGCTACGGATTATTTAAAAATTATATTTAAAAGATATTACAAATTATAGTAATAATTAATAATTTAAAATATTTTAAAAATATATAAAAAAAATTGAATGACTCTCCAAATTTTATCTATGTTATATACATTGACAAAAGAATAACATGAATTGGATTGGTACTGATACGAACTATATATCTAATACTAGACACAAGTTGTTATTTTCTAATAGAATTTAGAGAGTCAATTAAATTTAATATGATTTGTAAATATTTAAAGTTGTTAATGATTGTAATTTATATTACTTTTTACGTAATCTATAAATAATAATATGTTACTTCTCTTGTCCCAATGTATGTAGCACAGATATAATTTCAAGAATCAATCAAATGTTGTTAATTATTGAGACTTACAAGATTTTTTATGTAGTTTTCAAATTAAATAATACATGTTACCTTTTAAAAAAATATTTAAAGTTGTCAATTATCATGATTTATAGTATTTATTACACAATTTTTAAATATATAAAAAATAAAAAATAAGACAAACAAATTAAAACGGTACGTATAGTTGTCAGACAGACATGTCGACCATGACCTGTATCCCCATTCCCAACTTATATATATATATATTAGTATGGGATATACACATATATCAGGACCTTATCTATTATTATTTCATCAACTATGTTTTATCTTCTTTTTGTTGCTACTTTGTTTGTACATGTACAAAGTGTTCCTCAAAATAGCTCAATTGTTGAATATCTTCCTGGTTTTGATGGACCTCTTCCTTTTTATCTTGAGACTGGGTAATTTTCTTCTCTTTAATTTCTCTATAATTATTTCTATTTTATGTATCATCAATATATCAAAGAGCTTCTAAGCTAAAGAGATATAACTTTTGACTGATTTTGATTTATAAGCAATATGTGTAATAAGTCAAAAAATAATTTTAAACTAGTTTGATCAGTTTATATGAACATAGTTCTTATATTTACTAGTGAATTTATTTACGCTTAGTGTGATGATAAGACTAGTCAAATTTATTGTTATTGAAGTGATGTATTTTGAAAATTTCAGATACATTGGAGTTGCCAAATCTGAGGAAGTGCAACTATTCTATTACTTTGTTAAATCAGAATCCGACCCGAAGAAAGATCCGATCTTGCTATGGATATCGGGAGGACCCGGTTGCTCATCCTTCACAGGATTGGTGTACGAAGTAGGTACGTAAATATTAAATGAATTTAAGTTATATAGACCGGCAATGTAAAGATGTTTATATTGTCTCGATGAATCGAGAGTATGTTAGTTTATAACTCACGTTAAATATATGTAACATGCTTTCATTCATGAGAAGTTATTTGTATACAAATTTTGTTATCATTGTTGTACATGTTTAGAGCTAATGAATCAACTTGTATTGTTATTTTTATCACATATTTCACCTATAGTCCTATTTAGGGGTGCACAAAATCGAATCAAACCGCAAATTGAGTCAAACAGGAAAACAATCTGACTATATTTGGGTTGGTTTGGTTTTAACGAAAAAAAAATCAACCCGAGACCAAATCAACCGGACATGATATATGTAATTTTAAAATTTTATTTTATACATAAAAAATATTTACTTTATTATAATTTTAAATAATTTCTTATACTATTTCATAGTTTTATCTTTAATATATTACTTCAAGTTTAAAACATAGAATTCGGAATGGTCCAATAAAGATTATAGTTCATAGATGTTTGATAATTATAATAAAACTTAAATCAAAATCAAATTAATATTAATGCAAAAAAGAAAATTAATTCAACACTAAGAATGACAATAATATTGAATATTTGTTCTTTAGTTTTACATTGGTTTAAGACTAAATTAAAATACATAATCTAATTTTAATTTTTCTTAAATATTTAGTAATGTAACTAATACTTGATAAATTTATTTTAGCATGATTTAGTACTTTTAAATTATGATCATTTTCATTATGACTTTGCAATATTTATTTTATATGATGATTTCATTATTATTTTTTATTGAATAATTTAGTGTCATCAGTACTCATCTCATATTTTGTGTCATTTTCTTAAGAAACACCTTAGATAATTGTATTTTGGTTGGACTAAAGAAATATTTGGAGCACAAGTTAATTATATGTTTGTATGCAAACTTTACCGAAAAAATCCAGAAATCTGAAAAATTCGAGGTTTATTAGTTTGGTTTGGTTTATAAATTTAAAAATTTTACACAAATAGTTTGATTTGATATTTAAAAAACCCGAACCAACCCAATCATGTACACCCCTAGACTCCTATTGTTTCGCCAGCTTTTAAAATCAGTTTATTTTTAAATGTATACGCGGAAAGCTTTGGTATTATGTGTGACTCATATTTGGAGAAATTTAACTTTTGAATTCGCTTCTTTATTTAGGTCCATTGGCTTTTGGACAAAAGGCATACAATGGAAGCCTACCATTTCTTGTTTCAAGACCATATTCATGGACAAAGGTGATACAAAAATAGCTTATTTTTTTCTTTATGTTTGTTAAATTTATAGCATCAAATTAATCTATTCTTTGAACTAATTTGTAGTTTGCGAGTATAATTTTCTTGGACGAGCCTTTAAATACTGGGTTCTCATATGCAACAACTTCAACGGGGCACAACTATACTGATCTACAAGCATGCGGTCAAGTCTATGAATTTCTACGAAAGGTATTTGATATATATTCTTAGCTCATTAATCTAGATACATATGAATTGAGTTCGAAGTCGAAAGGTCAAAGGGAAGATGTATAACCCCACCCGCCTTATAAGGGTCAAGAATTATAAGTAAAATTGTCAAACTTCGAATCCATTTTGAGACAAAAATGAAAATAGTCAATATTTAAATTCACATCAAATTATTTGAATTGAACAAATATAACAAAAATGTATTTTGAATAACTCGTTGATTTATTTTACAGTGGTTCATTAATCATCCAGAATTCATCTCGAATTCTTTCTATGTTTCTGGGGACTCTTATGCAGGCATTACAGTTCCAGTTATGGTTCAACTAATATCAAATGGTAAGGACCAATTAATGTTATCACATCAAGTCAGATATTTCTATAATAGTCATCCTCTATAACAATATACTTCACTATAACAACAAAGTTTTTTTTTCCGAAACTAATATTCATGTTATGTTATGCTACTATACTATACCTTCTCTATGACAAGATCTCGCTATAGCAACCAAAAATTATCTGGACAACAATATTGTTATAGAAATGTTTGACGGTAATGTGAAGTTATGATCATCCTCATCACCCCATTACTCATGCTTTGTTATTATTGTTTCTTCCAATTTTCTGAAACTTGAAGTCTTTAACTGGTCTGACTAATCTGAATTCGTGTCGATAGATCCACCAAGAGGATTAAAGCCTCCTTGTTGGAAGGTTCTCCATTCCCAAGGCTCGGATCCAAGTTTATGCTTTAAGATATATATATATATATATATATATATATATAGAAAGCTACATTCTTTTTGTGACATTTCTAGCCAAAATCGTTTTATGTTATGAAAATGCAGGAATTGAAGTAGGCAAAGAGCCATTAATCAACCTTAAGGTTTTATATTCCTTTCTTTTCGTTCAATTTCAACATATATCATGAATGGAAAAAATATTGTTTTAATTTGATGGCGATATCCTTTAAGGGCTATTCACTTGGAAATCCAAAAACATTCCCTGAAGAAGTCAATTATAAAATTCCCTTCTGTCATGGTATGGGGCTAATATCCGACGAACTTTATGAGGTTGGGTTCAATCTCACTTCATATATATATGAACTTTGTATTGTACAAATGTGATTAATTTGGATCTTGTTGTATCAGTCGTTGAAACAGACTTGCAAAGGCGAATACCTAAATATAAAATCTACCCATACACCATGTTCAGAAAACTTAAAAATATTCAAGGAGGTAAGATTTGTGTACCTTTTATATTGGTTTTTAACTTAGGTAACACCTTAACACTCTTATAATGCAACTTTGTAGCTCGTGAGTGGTATATGTGATGAACAAGTACTAGAGCCTTACTGTGGAACATACTCTGAAGAACCAAAGTTATGCCAATCGTCAAGTGAAAGAAGATCTCTTGAAGAGAATTTCATCTTTTTAAATCGTGATGACTTTATCTATCGAAGAATAAGTCGTGTAAGTCCTTCAGTTGTTACTTCAAAGTATGAGTACTCGATAACTTCAAATTTTGAGACGACTCTAATTAACGTACATATGCTTTTTGATTGAAGGTTGACACACACAATCTCTCAGTTTATTGGGCAAATGACCCAAAAGTTCAAGAGGCTCTCCATGTTAGAAAGGTATTTCAATTGATTTTATTTGTACATGTATCGAAAATATTGCTTAGAGCTATGGTGCAAAATATTGAAAGAATTTTTTCGTTTTTCTTTGACTAGGGAACTATAAAAAGAACATGGGCAAGATGTAGGCAAAGTATTGGGGATAAAAGTTACGCAATTACTTTCATGAATAGTATACCTTACCATACAAACCTTAGTACAAAAGGTTATCGATCACTTATATACAGGTTTGATACTTTCGTGTTATGGTTCTCTTAAGTTGTGCTTTAAGCACTCAAGATTTGGTTGAAGTTACTATAACATAACAAAGTATTTTGTTTGAGCAGTGGCGATCATGACATGGTTGTTCCTTTTCAATCGACACAAGCATGGATAAAGTTTCTAAATTATCCTATTATTGATGATTGGCGTCCATGGATGGTTGATGAACAAGTTGGAGGGTATGGTTCTTCATATTTCACTTCCATGAATTTTCGTTCAAATTATATAATTGTTATGAAAATTCTAAATTATATATCTTTAATTCATAGTTACACAAGGTCTTATTCTAATCATATGACATATGCAACGGTAAAGGTAAGAATTTTGTTTTGTTTTGTTTTTTTTAAAATTAAATGTTTTCAATATCAATAGTAAAAATATTGTTTTATGCTCACATTTCTCAAATGTTTTTGTTCTTTTTATTTTATTTTATTAGGGAGGAGGGCACACAGCTCCAGAGGACAGACCAGAAGAGAGTTTTCACATGTTTAAAAGATGGATATCTCAACAACCTTTATAATTTTTTTTAATTAGTTCAATATGCACTTTGAATTACCATGAACGTGTTACTCCGTTTTGTTTTGTTTTAGTTGTCATGTTTATTAAAAAAAATTGGTGTTGTGTTTATATTAAAAATAGTCGTCACTTTAGAAAATCAGATTTGATTAGTTTTTACTTTTCACTTTTCACTTTTATCCCTAGTCAACAAATGTGGAAAGAGATTAATGTGGTTAAAAAAAGAATAGTATTGAATACAAGAACATAGGTACATTTAAGAGATATTCACAAATAATCGCTTGTAGCATCATTATTTAAAATATATCTATAATTACATAAAATTATCTTTAACGTGAAAGTAAAGAAAACGAAAAGGAGTTCATGAATTTGTAATGGCACCTAAGAGTGTCGTAGTGATCAATGAAGACGGACAAAAATATTTGTTGGTTATTTTTATATGTCTTAGCCTTGATGGACAAAGTTATTCGATATATACATGTTGTTGGTGGAAGGTGATAGATATCCCGTGAATTAATTAAGATGCATAAAAATTGATTTAGACAATACAATCATGGAAAAAAAAACTCCATGTTGTGTGACTAAAATCTTTTAGGCGTATGACCCCAGACAAAAAAGAGTGAATATATTGTGATATGTACAAAAAGATCTCTATAAAATTAAAATAGTTTTCAAATGCTTTTAGACATTTTTCACGATATTTATGCAATAGTATATATATATAGATATCAAAATACTTTTATTTACGGTCCTTCGTACAATCAAATATGATGAACTTTTGAATTTTAAATCATAAATTTGAAGTTAATCTCTAAAAGTACAAGACTTGATTTTGAGGAGGCTAATAATAAAATAGTTATAAAATTGGTTATATTTTAAATAATGCCCTTGAAATCGATTATTTCCTACTAGTTAAGTGTCATAGTGTGAACTAAAGGACCCTTTATTTTTATCATATATATAGTGGTTGTAATTATTTTTACCGAGCAATTAAATATTTTCTCTCTTCACTTTTACTTGTTTACTTTGGACTTTGCACACTCTTTAAAAAATAATGATTGATATGAATTTTTTATTATTATACCCATATTAATTGATGTTTAGTATTAGGTCTTTAAAAATTATTTGAGGAATAAGTAATCAATGATAAGGATAAAACATGAAAAAACAAATAAGGGTAAACAACACAAATCTCATTAGTTTAGGGCCTACTTATGTGCCTTTCCGTGAGTTTTCAAAATTACCATTTGTGCAAGATTTTGGTCCCCAAATACATGTATCTCAGATAAACGGAGTCAAAATTAGGTATAATTTTCTCTAGATACATTGTATACAAGTAAATTTACATGTATCTGACTCTCTTGTTCGCCTCTCTCCCTCACCTCTTTTGGTCTTCCTTATCTAATTGTATTTCAGAATGCACGTGGAATATATTTGGTATCTCAACTACATGTCTCTAATGTAATTCACATATATCTGGAATACACAGTGTCTCTCTCCTCTCTCTCTATGTATCTACATTTTAGAGTGTGTTTGATAGCAAATATACGTGTATCCAGGTGTATCTGACTTGAAATCTGATATGAAATTATACAGACAATATGCAATTATATCAAATTATAGGGAAAATTAATACATATGATATGTATATTTGCCGAATTAGATAATTTCTCCAAAATATAATTATTTTTCCTTTAACATATTAAAAACAACAAAATAATATTGACAAATAAAAATAGATAATTTCTCCAAAATATAATTATTTTTCCTTAACATATTAAAAACAATAAAATAATATTGACAAATAATTATCATGTGGTCTTTTTTCTAATCTTCAAGAGTAGAAAATTAGTCTCCTTGACTAACCCGTTTACACCGAGTGGACCCGAAAAAGCCCAAATTTAGTAAATTAAAAAAAATCATGGAAGCTTTATTAAACCCTTGTTCTTCGAAAAACCTAGCCCCTCTTTCGGCCTCGCCTCCATTGCTGCATTTGGGCATTGTGATGCTTTATGCATCTATCTTCTCTGAAGAACTTGTAAAGATTACTTTTTGAGCTTTTGGAGAATGCTTGAAGTTTATAGAAGCAGCTCAGTTGAGTGGAAGCCGTCGCCGGTGGTAGCTTTAGCTACTAGCGCCGATGATTCTCAGGTCGCTGCCGCTCGAGAGGATGGTTCTCTTGAGATTTGGCTTGTTTCACCTGGCTCCAACGGATGGCACTGTCAACTTGTACGAATACATTTTTTTTTATTTAGAATGTGCTTGTGTACGTACTGGGTGTTATTTGGAATTAAGTGGGTTTAAATTGAGCAAAAAGATAGTGATTATTTATCTAAGCAATCTCAGCTTGCTTGGAATTGAGAAATTAGGGTTGTTTTTAGCAAGATTGAGTTTTTTAAAAAAAAATTGTGAATAGCTTAGAATGTGCTCGGGTGCATTTGGAATCAAATTGGTTTAAATGGAGCAAAATGCATAGTGATGATTTATGTAGTCGATCTCACTAGCTTGGGATTGAGATATTAGGGTCGTTTTATGTTATCAAAATTGGAATTAGGGTAGTTAACAAGATTGAGTTTTTTTTTTTTTTAAAAAAATAAATAGGTTAGAATGTGTGCACGTACTGGGTGTATTTGGAATCAAATGTGTTAAAATGGAGCAAAATAGATAGTAATTATTTATATAATTGATCTCAACTAGCTTGTGATTGAGATATTAGGGTCCTTTCAGTTAATTAAATTGGAATTAGGGTAGTTGTTAACAAGATTGTAGTTTTTGTTTTTTGATTTAGTAATAGCTTAGAATGTGTGCACGTACTGGGTGTATTTGGAATCAAATGTGTTAAAATGGAGCAAAATAGATAGTAATTATTTATATAATTGATCTCAACTAGCTTGTGATTGAGATATTAGGGTCCTTTTCAGTTATTAAAATTGGAATTAGGGTAGTTGTTAACAAGATTGAGTTTTTTGTTTTTTTGATTTAGAATAGCTTAGAATGTGTGCACGTACTGGGTGTATTTGGAATCAAATGGGTTTATAAGGAGCAAAATAGATAGTGATAATTCATATAAACGATCTCAACAAGTTTGGGATTGAGAAATTAGGGTCGTTGCTAACAAGATTGAGTTTTTCTTTTAATGTGTGTGCAGATAATACATGGAAATCCTGATTCAAGGGTTTCCTCGTTAGTTTGGTGTCAGTCGGGATCGAGAAAATTACCTGCAGGCCGGTTATTTTCATCCAGCATTGATGGATCAGTTTACGAGTGGGATCTTTTCGATTTGACTCAGAAGGTACATCCACAAACTTAGCAACATCTGTTGTCGTTGCTGTACTCCATTTACTTCTTACTTTGTGGTTGTTAGAAATTAGAGCCTACTCTAGCTAGTGAATTGATGTAATAAGTGCATGAATATATTGATTGACAAAATGGAATGAACTACCTACGCAAAACTATACTCATTTGAGGGGTGGCTGGTGTATGATATGATCAGTGATTTCTCGTCCTTTAAAGGTATACTCGGTTTAGCAGTGGTGTGAAATGGACCTGAACTGGGTTTAATGGTATGGAGGATTCATGTAACAGAAGTTTGTAATTGAGGCATGGTTGGTTGATGTATGAATGGGTGGAAATGCAATCAACAAGATGAACTGTTGGACTGCTTCTTTTATTAACATAGAAAATAAGGCAAGTTGACCCACCACATAAAAGGAATTTGACATTTTGTCACGGTGATTCTCATTATACAAAATTATATGATCTTATCTATTTCTTTTCCTCTGCCAATATTCTACTCCCTCCGTTCCAATTTATATGAGTCAGTTTGACTTGACACGGAGTTTAAGAAAGAAAGGAAAACTTTTGAAACTTGTGGTCTAAAATAAATCCTAGATATTTGTTTAGTTAGAAATCATTTCATTAAGGGTAAAGTGGGCATTTTAAAGTTAAATTGTTACTAAGTATAGAAATGTATCATTCTTTTTGGGACTTTCTAACAAAGAAAGTAAGTCATAAAGTGGGACAGAGGGAGTATTTTTTTCGTGTGCACAAATTAGTGGATTTCCTTCACTGTTTGTGAAAAAGCTACCTTTAGCTTCCATTTTTATGGTGTTAAGAGACCCAAAGAGATGAAACCCTCTAATATTATTTTCCCTTAATGAGTGGAACATAGTCAGAAATGGCAAGTACTTTTGGTAAATGCTTACCAGCTGCATAATGTTATAAGCTATTGTTTTAGCTGTAGCTGTGTAAGATACTTTGCTGTTCCAGTGTCTTGCATGAATTTGGCATAAAATAAGTCTTTATGGCTGTGTGATCGGGGATTTGGGTCTTCCCAGGTCAATGTACTTCAAGATCCATCCATTTTCTTATCTGTAGTCTTATATTTGGTTTTGATAAGCTGAATAATGTTGTTGTTTCTATGGTTGCTGGCAGGCTGTGCTCGATTCTATTGGTGTTTCAATATGGCAGATGGCTGTGGAGCCATGCAATAATGCACAGCTTCATCAGAATCCTCCAAAGAAGTATGAGAATGGCCATGTTAGTTTTACAAGTGGTGCTAGTAGCGATAGTGAAAGCAGTGAAGGGGAAGAGGATGATGACTCAGTTGTTATTCACGTGGATGATGTTAATGAAAATGGTCGAATTGCATTTGCTTGTGATGATGGTCGTGTTCGTATCTGCACTGTTTCGGATGAGAAGAATTTGTCTTACGAAAGATTGTTCCCTAAGGTCAATGGTGAGACGGCTGCCCCTTAGGGTCATAGCGCAAATATCTGATTGTTGCTTTGAGAATTTCATAGCTAATATTTGGATAATTACAGGGCGTACGTTGAGTGTCACTTGGAGTTCTGATGCAAAGAGGATATATTCTGGTAGTAGTGACGGGTATGTTCTATTTTGAACTTAGCTATGTACATTTACTTATTGATTTCTGATGAAAACTGAATTGAGGCATAACGTTCGCGGAAGAATGGCTGTTTATTCTTCATGGTGTGTTCACTGTGAAAATTCTGAGTGGAGGTTGTTTC